TACTTGTAGATTTATCTCTGACACTTGCCAGTGATGCCAGGTACCTCAGAAAACCATATTCATGATGTGACATGGTGTGTTTATCACTGTGACATGGTGTGCTCTTAACAAAATCGCTTTTCCATTCTCTTCTTTGGCAACTCTGCTGTCCCTCATCCGCAATCCCGCCTCATCGCCTCTCATCCTCAAGGTTGCATGCTCCGGTTAAATCGGTTCAACGTCAACTCTCTGAGATTCTCCCGGATTAGTCAATACGGTAGCATCGCTAAAGAACATCACATGAACACTTGGAAAGGGCCTTAGTACACTCTATTTTAGACATGTTGCCGCTATGATCAAAATCTAGACGGGACTGAACAAGAACGCGTGTCCTTTTATGGCAAAACCAAACTTTGCAACGACAAATGTGTCTCTGTGGCCTTCTGAGGTGCAGGCTCGTTAGAAGAGCCGACTGAACCAACCGGAGTACCAATCTCCCATTCTCCATGCGCCCAGCTACATGACCCTGCCGCCTTGCAGCAAAGGATACTGAAGTACTTCCACAATGAAATCTCAAAGCAGATTCAAAGTCTTCAAATGCTTGGTCTGTACTAATGCACTTATCACATATTGCCCAAGCAGTGTGTATGTTTCTAGCTATTGAAAAGAATGAGCTCCAGATCAAGGTTTCTCGGCTAGGATATTGGATGTCTACAATCCTTGCGGCCTTGTCCAGGGTCACAGAAATTGCTGTGTTCGAGAATGTCTTGTGGTGCTGTGCGCATGATTGAATTTGCCTTCCTGACAGGCACACTTCGGAGTGGTCATTTCGTGGGAGATGCAGGTTGGAGCAGTTGGTGGCGTGAATGTGTCAATGTCCTCTCATACAAGCACATTTGTCCGTACTGTCTTCTCCTCTGTGCTAATATGTCTGCTTTCCGCTTTGTGTGCCCTTTGGTGTATCCTCCGTGTGCTCAGTCATGCATCCGGTCTCAAAGTGTGCTCACAGGTCTGCTCATGTCCCTTAGAGTATATAAGTGTTCATGTCCTCAGATGAGTGCTCTCTTATTTGTGTTCTCTTGCGTGTTCTCAGATGTGTGTCCTTAATATGTTTTCTCTCATGTGTTGGTTGTCCTTCTCGCGCGCACCCTATTGCGTGGGCTCTCATGTTCTGTGTATGACGTTGCTGTCTTGTCTCTGCTGTCACAAGTGTGCTCAGTGTGTGTGTGCTCTACTTATGTGCACACGTTCGCATGTCTAGGCTCTCAAATGTGTGCTCATTTGTGTCTGCTCTCAAAGGTGTGTCCTGTGCGATCGGCCCTCCTGCTTGCTCTCTCATATGATGCGTTCTTTTGTGTGCTCTCTATTGCTCTCTCATGAGAACTCTTAAATGTACAACATATGTGCTCACGTGTATCCTGATTTTGTGTCTGTGTGCTCTCTCTCCCTCTCGCCTGTGTGCTCTCATTTATGTGTGGCCTTGCGTGCTGGTCGTACATGTGCTCGTCGATGGGAACTTCTTTTTGGCTCGTTGATGCCAGCATCTACTCGCTCGAATTTGGAACTCCATTTCGTGTGGCCAGTGTGGGACGGTCGATCACCCTCTTTTCAACCCGTGGGCCTGTGGGCTCTTGTTCTCTCCAGTGTGTTCTCACAAGTCTGCTTGCGCTCGCGGTGTGCTCTCTTGTCCTCATGTGTGCATATCTGTCCTATTTCATAAAGCACATTCACATAAAACACTGTGTATATATATATATATATATGAGGATGCCATCGCTATTAGGTTGGAGGCCAGCGCTATTAGGTTTCAAAAACCGTCCAGGCAAAGCTGTGCCGGCAACAGTGTGAGCGTTTTGCAGCCGCCTGGAGACATCTTCCTTGTTGCCAGAACTTGCAAAGTGTTCGTCGCACCTGCCAAAACTCAAAACTGCAAACTGTAAAAGACTTCAGCTCCTTGGCAAGTTGATAAGTCCCCCCCCGCTTCCTCAACTCATAGACGCAGTCAACACAGGAAGTTGCGCCTCTACAACTGGTTGGTTTGAAGCTGGCGTACCTGCCAGATTCTCACAGGCATCAGGTTGAAAGGAAGCGCTTCCCCAATCTTCATACTGGAAGTCGTTTGCTTACTTGGGGAGGCCATCGCTAGAGGCCATCACTTTTGGGCTGGAGGCCATCGCTATGAGCCAGCAAGCAAGCAAGCAGTGGAAATCTCCAGAAGGGAGCACTGGTAGGGTTGGCTCCAAGCATGTGCGCTGGCACCGTCTTGTCCTAGCATGAGCTTTGGGCATTGCGCTGTAAAAGAATTAACCGACCATGATCATCTATGAACTCTCCGGGGGTTTCGCAACTGGTCGAAGGGAAGGGAGCCTTTTTTTGCTGCAAACAAAGATATGTCCAGGGACTGGCTCTCGACCTTCCGATCGCAGTTCACAGTCCAGCTGCCGTAGAACCTCGCGAACCAGCTGACACACGAACCATGAACGATCACAGCTCCTCATGTCTAGTCTACTTATTCCTTGACAAGTGCAGGGGATGAGTTAGGGTGACCGTTAAAACACCACCACCACCACCACAAGTTCTTAGAATCTCTTCGGAGACATTCGTCCCACTTTGCTGGTGAAACACAAGGCTCCCCCCTGAAGATATGAAGAAAGGAATTGCCACTCCACACCGACCGACCCAAAAGACTCCGTTTTCGGAGTAGAAAACTCATGTTTGCTCCGTTCGTAGCGATGCCCTTTGCTAGTAGCGATGCCAGGAGCCCCCAGTAGCGTCCTTGCTCCTACTCATGTTTGGTCTACTTGAAATGCGAAAACTATTAGAAACAAGAAGCTACTCGGAACAAGTGCATCGCTTCTAGTAACAAGTGCCTTACTAGTAGTAACAAGAAGCTAGTAGTAGAAACAATGCATGACCTGACAAGGTGGAAAACTGCACCGCCAGTGCGCACGCCCCCCGTTTTCGGACACTTTCCCGTGGCCCTTGCGCTACCGTGTGTTGGAAGGAAAAGCACTTCGTTTCACTCAAGTCATATCAACTACAGAGGTGGGGCAGTGGCCCCCCTGTCCGCCTAGTGTTGCACCCCGGGATTGAAACCGAATCCATTGCATCAGGGGTGCGTCATAGCCACTAGACCATACCCGTCCTCGTGATTCTAAGAACTTATCAAGCTAGTATGTGTTGGGCCTCTGGCTGGAGAAGGTGAAAGCTGTCGCGATCCAATGGGGTTTTAAGAGCTCAATTACTTGGAAAGAAAAACACGTGCCTACAAAGTGATCGACTGGCTTGCATTGTGGTTCAATCAGAAAAAAAGGGGTAGCCCTTGCGCCTCAAAGCCGGAGGTTCCAGCAAGGGCCGTCACATAGCCAGCATTGTGTGCTACCCGGCCCGTTCCCTGACAGACTCAAGTCAGGACAACATAAATTGAATAATGTTGTTTGTAACATCACTTTTCTGGTGGGAGTAGGCCAGTAAAAGGAAGTCGCTAACAAGTAGCGAACCTGGTAAGGGGTAAGTAGGTATCTACTAACACTACTAGACAGGGCACAGAAGAGTTCAGGTTTCTTAAAGACCCCCACGCATGATTGATATGGATCCTGGTAGAAAACTGGAAGCGTTCGGAGAATCTAACTAGAACCGCTTGAGACAAGAAGCGATGGCCTCCAACCTACTAGCGATGGCCTCCAACCTGATAGCGGAATAGACTACTAGACAACGGAATAGACTAGGAACAAGAAGCTACTAGGGGCTCCTGGCCTTACTACTAGGAGCAAGGACGCGAGGATCTTCAAACTTGAGACGTCGCGCAAGTGGCCCAAGGTCGAGCCCAGTCTCGCCTCCAAACGATAGTCATTGCAGAAACCCTTCGGTTTTTTCCACAGAGAATGCAAAAATACCATCCGCCACAAGTCTCCGGTGTGCCAGGAGAAAGATTCGCTCCAAAGAGGTTACCTTAGATTCACGAAACCGTTGTGGAAACATAACCTGAAACAAGAAACATGTTCAAAGCACCTATAAAGCAGAATCAAGTTTCATAGACGAAAACGTCGGCGGCAGTGATGAGACGATAATCCACTTCATCATTTGCCTACCAGAGCTGTTCCAGGAAACAACAAGAAAAAGGCAAAGACGAATGGCCCGCGACAAATATTCCTATTCTCCAAGTGTCATTAATTGTTTTTGAATCGGCCAACTATGACTAGCGACAAATTGTTGGTCTGAACCCCCCTACGAATATTTACCACTACTTTGCTCCATTGGCTTTGCCTTCTGCAAGTCTTAAATCCAAGAGACACCCTGGTGCCCTGGTTTCTTTTTCTCTCTTCTCTCTCTGGCTTTCTGTTGTTCTTCATGCTCTCAAACTCTGAGTTGCATCATTCCCACTGTTCTCCCGGGGGTCGGCAACTAGGAGCTTTTCTGTTTGCTGCAGTTTTTGCTGCTGAACCTGTTGGAAAGCTTTTCCTCACACTTCAAACCCCTTTTTTCTTGTGGGGTGGTGGGCGCTGACTCCTTGGCCCCTTCGAGCACCTGATCTGGTCGTCACAAAGTCGTCGTGTTTTTTTGCTTCATATTCATGAACGCAAGGAACAACGCTAAAAACAGGAATGGTGTCAGCCCATGGTGTCAGGGGAGGGATGGTATGTGACAGGACAGCAATGAAGAAGACATTATATACATAGAAAGACAACCCTCCAAAAATGCTTGTTTCGACGTTCTCACCTCCAGGAACTGACACATATCCGTGCGGTGAAGGAGATCATAGCACCCCTTCTTCTCGGCCTTCGCAAAGAAAAAACACCATGAGCAAGGAGGCTACTAGGGGCTCCTGGCATCGCTACTAGGAGCAAGGACGCTACTAGGGGCTCCTGGCCTTACTACTAAGAGCAAGAAGCTTCTAGGTTAGAGGCCATCGCTATTAACACCAAAGAACACCTTCGCTGAGTCACCTTGCCTGCGACAGCATTGCAGCCGATAAATCTAAGCCTTCCAGGAAAGCGCGCGGTGCACTGTCACGCAATTGCTCACCCAAGAGGCCAGTTCCTCAGAGCCACTGGAACGGAAAAAAGAAAGTATAGAAGAGGTGAATAATGGCGATGGCCTCCAACCTAAAGATTAAAAGAAGGTATCGAAAGGTGAGCCCTTGTAAAGCTATGCCATGTGAACGCATGAAAACGAGGTGCCAGCTCCAAGATCCAAAATACGCATGTTTCTTGGCGCAGCTCCAACATCCCATCCACTGTATCGCAGTGCCTTGCAATGCTATTTCCTCACACACACACCATCTTAGATTCGAAAACTTGTTTAATGAAATGAAAAGCATGTGTTTAATTTCGTGAACTGCGAATGCTTTGAACCCAACATGCGCCTGCATGATCATCTGGGGCACTTGATAGTTCAGGTGCTCCAGGCGGCTTTCAAACGTCGGTGAGAACCGATCGAACAAAGAGGCTACGTAGTCTTTGGAGATCGTCTCCGGCGTTTCATTGGTTGCGATGTACAGCAAATGCTTGGCCAATGCCAAGCGCAGTGTCCGCTCGTCTGCGTTCGGCCGTTCATGAAGCCGATGGCTGGCAATGTCCTGGTTGACTCAATGCCGCATGATGAGTCAACAAATGAGGTAAACTGTCCACAAATGCCTGGAGCAAGATGTGATGTTCTAGAGGGCGCTACTAGGAGCGAAGGGCATCGCTACTAGGAGCAAGGACGCTACTAGGAGCAAGATGTGATGTTTGCAAATGCCAAGATTCCAAGTGTTTGCGCAAGGCATCCGCAGCCTCATCTGGCTTGGCTGCCAACAAGGCCTCGCTCAGTCGCAAGAAGGCAGTGGGATGCTTTGCATTGCGCCGGGTGAGGCAGCGTAGCAATCGCAAGCGTTCCTGCTGTAGTGAAATCCACAGAAATGCAAAATGGAGATATGAAGATATGTGCGCGCTTTCAGAACATCCCAGCAATGTCAAGTTGCTCTTCTGAAATCCTAGAACCCCTCTTTCGCGTTCCTTTTGCTTCCCTTTGCTTTCAACCCTGCAAGCTCTCTGCAGATTGACACATCATCGATCTGAAAATTCTGCAAGTGAACAATGGCCTCTGGCTCCCTGCATGCTCGACGAAATGCTGCCACTGCTAGGCGCTTGTGATGCTTGCGTTGAGGCCGTCGGGACTTGCAGAACTTGGAGAGTTGCAAATGGACCGTTGCCAGGGCTCGCCAGGCTCTCACACTTGGTCGAAGCCTGCACGGAACTAGGAAGAACTGAGCAGTCCCTGCTCGGACACCCAAACCTGTTTCAAAAAAACATGCTATTCATACTCTAAGAGATACAAAGCACGCTCACGTTGTCTCGCGTCCCTCCGCTTTCTGCCTCTCCTGGTCAGAACATGCAGCAATGCAGCCCGACGCTCCAGCTCCGCCGGCATCGCACTGGAAAGGTGTTCATGAGCACTGCTGCCATGAATCTGTGCAATTTTCCTGCGGACAATTGGTCAACCTTGAAATGCCGTTGGAAAGAAGAAAAGATCAAAACAACAGCTTTGCTTTTCTCTCTTTAGAATCTTTAGACATATCTTTCTGGTCCGTTTATATGGTTTCTTTTCTTTGTGTACTGAGTGTATGAGTCTAAAGAGACGAGCCAGAAAAGCTTCGAAGCCCCAGACTGAACACCATCAAATCGCACAAAACACAATGGTTCTTGCTAACAAAAGTCGGGAAAGACAGGAAATCAGGATCTAAACCAATCAGGATGTTTTTTGTGTTTGAGCTTCTAAAGCCAATCCTTCTGAGCATTCCAAGGCCACAAGATCAAGAAGGGGATCAGTGACAAAGAAATGGAAAGACTTAAACATGTTTCAAAGCGCATAAAAAGAGGGTTGTGCTCAACACGGCTGCATTCCTCCACTCCGTGTGCCCATGTACAGCTTGCACCGCGCGTGCACTGGCCCTGACAGGATCGAGCAACGATGCCAGGCGAAGCATGAGCCCCTAGTAGCATTCTTGTTCCTAGTAGCGATGCCCTTGTTCCTAGTAGCGATGCCAGGAGCCCCTAGTAGCGTCCTTGCTCCTAGTAGTAAGGCCAGGAGCCCCTAGTAGCTTCTTGCTACAGTGCGACACAATGATTGCGTGTTGTCCGTTTATCACTGCTGCAAAAGCAAGATCGAACTGATTTGTCAAGAGGCCTCCTGACTATGGTCTTGCCTGCATTTGGAAACACTCCCCGGAGAAACCCAACCCTCCAGCTCCAGATCGCTGCGCCTCAAGCCAAAATTTGCACATGGTCTTTTTCACGGGCTGCTCAACTCCAAAGCCTTGGCTGTCAATGCCAGAGATGCGGTTGGTCTTTACAAATTCCCTTGGCTGGTAGCTGTTGTCCTTGCACTTACAAGTTCGGCAAGTTTGGAGGGGGCGTTGTGGAGTTTCGACAAAGTGTGTCGACTTTTTGATCATTTATCTTGAGGTCTTGTGCCGTGGTATTCAGAAGAACACCAGGCACGCAGGACTAAGTCCTTGCCGAAGCTGCTTTGTCCCTATGACACACGCACACCTCTTGCAGATTCAGAGTTTAAACAGGAGGTTTTGAGAGTCCTCCATCCTCGTTACCTGTCACTCGTCATGCTTTCTTCAGACTCATGTCTGTTCATGAGGCAGGTAAAAGTTTTTGAAACATATGCACTGCAACTGATGGAAGGGTTTGCAAGGTTTGCCATGCAACCGAGTCCTGGTGGTCCCGATCCAAAACCACGCAGGCTGAAGCGACTGAAGCTCCAGAAAGACTTGCTCTTTCACAGGCTGAGGCTGGGGCTGAGGCTCTGAAGAACCTCTCGCAGGGTCAATACGGCTCCCATTAAGTAGTAATGCACTTGTTACTAGTAGCGATGCCCTTTGCTACTTCTTGCTACTACTTAGTTGTAACTGTATTTTCGACATTCCAAACACGTCCTCGGTCCTCGCCTCAAACTGCGGAGCTTGGCCTTGCATTTGGAAGACTGAGGTTTGGCCATGGCCTCAGTCTCTGGTGCTCACGAATCCATTGAGCCCGCAAAGCCGATTGCAAAGGCTTGCCAATTGAATGTCAAGCCTCTCGCATGACACTCTTGTCGGCCACTCTTGAAAAATACTATTGTAGGACACTTTTGAATGACACTCTTTTGGGACGCTCTTGTTGGACCCACTTCAGTGCAAACGCACCACTGCCAACGGCCAAAAGCACAGCTTCACCTTCCGTCATAACAGCATTGCAACTGGACCACTCCACGAAATCGCACAAGACGTACTCCCCAAGCATCGATGCATCGTTCTACACCTTTTTGTTCGATGCCTGGTTGCCTTCCGTTGTGTGGCAAAGAAATATTACCCGGGGCATGCTTTGTAGTGAAGAAAGCTCAATTGAAGTTATAGCAGCGCGTATTTGTGCACCACCATTTTGCTATCCTCCATGATGCACTATCCATGTTCCTTCTCCACTGCCACCAGTTCAAACTCCCCCAACTAGTCGCCATTGTTTGCTTGTTCAATTCTGTACTGTACAAGTTTCATCCATTCACACTTTATCCGTGGGATATTGTCCGCTTCTTTGAAGTCCTCCAAGCTCTTCGGCGTCGAGCGGATGTCTGTGTTGTTATTCGGAGCCCAACTCTTTCCAAATGTTTAGAACTGCCCTCCTCTTGACTTGTTCACTTTCCTCGAAGACAGTCAAGCGATACTTTGAGATTCAGCAAAGAGTTGATTTTAGGAGCAAGGACGCTACTAGGGGCTCCTGGCATCGCTGCTAGGAGCAAGGACACTACTAGGGGCGTTCCTGGCATTACTACTAGGCCTTGCGTGTTCAACCTATCATATCCCTCCTCCATCCACCCCTTGGATCGCTAAGCAAGAAAGCTTTTCATCGACAGGATCGCAGCCCCAGGGTTGTCTTTGAGCACCGCTTGGTGCATGTGCCTCGAATGTATCCTTCGCAAGCTACATGGCCCAAAAAATATATCAAGCACCATCATGCCCTACCGTCAATAGTTAAAACCGGACATCAAGAATGTGAAGCTCGACTTCAAGCAACCATGGAACTCATTGTCTGTTGTCTGCCAATGCACCGGGTGCTCTTGGGCGCCATGAACTCGAAAACGTGGTTTGCTTAGACAAGGAATGGAAAGAATTACATACCCGCCCAATAAGGATGCCTTGTTCAGCTGCGAACGCTCGCGACCGCCCCAGACCACTTGCGATCACCAGAGTTAAGGAAAAGTCTATAGATCTGCTGTGCTCCTCGACGCGTCTGAAAAGCTTAGACAAAATACTTACCAACTCAAAGGCGCTTCCAAGCTCCGGACTCTTGCCAGTCATTCCCTTCACAAAAAAACCATGCAGTTTCTCAAGAGAAAACAAGACAGGTAGACCGTCAGTGACCGTCAGACAGTATGAGAATACAAACCACGTGAGATGCCTTGCCACCTTTGACAGGAACTGCAGTCGCATAGGGTTGCAGTGTGGTAAAGACCGTGCTGTTGCGCTTGACCGCCACAGCACCTCAGTTGCTCACGGGGTTCGTTGGAACTTCCCTTGCTACAAGGAAAATTGATAGCATAGGTGTTTGTATATGTTTTCGGTTATTTTGTCTGTGTTATTCTCTTTCTTCTTTGGACCTTTCTTTCTCTTCTGTTCTTTGCTTGGCTCTTTTGGTTTCCTTTTCAGTCCAAAAAAGGCCTTAGGCCCTAGGTGACTGGTATTTTAGGGACGGACAAAGCGCTACGGTATCGAGGGGCGCCCTCACGCTTGCAACAACCCAGGTCCCGGCGCTCCACAGGTATCGCGGCCTCAGTTTCACAAGCGCAGTCCACATCCAATCGATCCACGATTTCAGAATCTGAGACTTCTGATATTATGGTTAGTCTTCTGGTTATTCTTCTTCCGTTCTCCTTTTCGCTCTTTGGTTGGAGGCCATCGCTAGTAGGAGCAAGGACGCTACTAGGAGCAAAGGGCATCGCTACTAGGAGCAAAGGACGCTACTAGTGGCTCCTGGCCTTACTAGGAGCAAGAAGCTACTGGTAACAAGGGCAGACGATCTTTTCACCGCTAGTAGGTTGGTCTCACCTTCTGTTTTTCAAGTCGCAGACGCCGAGCTCTTCGTGGCCGTGAGCCCACGTGCACTCGCCCCCTTTGGTGCAGGTCCCCTGCACGAAGCATGACACGCAAGGCAGATAGGCACCTTGTTACTAGTAGCTCACAAGAACGGGGTCTGAAGGTCCAAAGGAAAAAAGATAGAGAAGAGACTTTCTTGGACTTCTTCAGCTGTTGGTCTAGCCAGTAGCCTCAAAGAGAAGAGAATGAAAATAGAAAAAAGAAAGAAATGTCCAAAGAAGAAAGGAAAAAGTAAGTAGCTCCCAAGGAGCGTAGCATGAGGTGGTATGGAAATCAGGTGTTTGGCACATATGTAAAAGCAAGGCAGTGAAGAGATTTTTGGAGGAGTTTAGGATGTCCAAAACACATGGGCATGTCGTGTTGTGCCAAGTACAGTTGGCATTTGGCGCCTGTTCCCAGAATTTGCAAATGGTGCGCTTCACGCCATTTGGCCCTGCACATGCAACAGTGCTCCTAGTAGCTTCTTGTTCCTAGTAGCGATGCCAGGAGCCCCTAGTAGCGTTTTTGTTACTACTAGTAAGGCACTTGTTACTAGTAGCTTCTTGTTCCTAGTAGCGATGCCAGGAGCCCCTAGTAGCGTTTTTGTTACTACTAGTAAGGCACTTGTTACTAGTAGCTTCTTGTTACTAGTAGCGAACCTTGCTCCTACTAGTAAGGCACTTGTTACTAGTAGCTTCTTGTTACTAGTAGCGAACCTTGCTCCTACTAGTAAGGCACTTGTTACTAGAAGCGATGCACTTGTTACTAGTAGCTTCTTGTTACTAGTAGTAAGGCCAGGAGCCCCTAGTAGCGTCCTTTGCTCCTAGTAGCGATGCCCGTTGCTCCTAGTAGCTTCTTGTTCCCAATGTTTGCAAAGTTCCGGCGCAAACAGGAAGGACCTGTCCATGCATACAGTTCTTGGTCCGTGCAACAATTGAAGTCAAAATGCATGGACATCGGCTTCTATCAGGATGTGAACCTGCACCCTGACCCAGCGGCTGCATTGGCTGCATTGGATGCATGGGCTGCATTGTGTCCGGAGTTGGCAACGGGGCCTGAGCATTCTTTCTCTATTGTGTGAAATACTCTCACCTCTCTCTATATAGATATATCGCTGAGCTTTGAGCAGTCTTCTAACTCCAAGTTCCAGCTCAGTTCCTTACACCAATCTCTTCTTCGCCATGAGCAAAGGAGCAGACAGCACCCTTTGTGCAAGCACCCTGGGCATGTCGAGCATGACACATCCTATCTTCCAAAGCCTTGCTTGATGCTCACCTAAACCCTGCAAAGCATGTATTGTCCTTCGATGCCC